ATCTGTCGCTAATAAAAAGGAGAAAATCAGAAGGCCACGACGTTCATGATGATACGTGTATATCCCAACAAGGGAAATTGACTGTCACACAAGTGTGTGAGTGAAAGGGTACTTAGTGTACGAAAGGTGTGAACAAGTGTGTATAAAAGTGTACAATGCAGAGTATATATGAAAATGACTAGTATACATGATCCGATAAGATAGACAATAGTTTTTCTTACCATCATCGAATTCTGATTGGTTGTATTGTCATGTGATAAAAAGGTCATACATTGTTGATTTAGTTAATGCATAGACAAAGCATATTGTGAGTTATAATGGAATATCGATCAATATACACAAAGCACAGCATATCAGACTGTAAAAAACAAAGGGAGACATCGTGGGACTACATATCAGGTATCATGGTGATTATCATCTCATCACATTTTCAATCATATACTCTGGTATCTGCTACTTCAGTGATAGCCATTATGCTCAAGGAAACGTAATGTGATATGACGTTCAGCCAGTAAACGATTTATTGAAAGAAATAGACAGTGGTTTTGCATATGAGGTCTCATTTGAGGGGAGGTTTTACTGTATTTCTCACTATCACACTACAATGCTTATAAATAATACATATAAGAAAACTTAATAATATCGTTTACCTGTTGTGTGCTTGAAAGACATATTCTTTGATTTATGCAGAGGTTCGTATGGCTTTTATCAGGAAGCTCCTCCTTTGTCTTACTCAATCTGAAGTGAACTTAAGTGAATCCTGTAACACCATATAGTTCCAGAGCAAATTTGCCCGTACGTCTTTGCATACATATGTCTTCCCTACACTCTTCTGGTGCGTAAATACATGCACAGCTCTGATTTCAGTGGACATACTGTATACCTCATTGCTCTACCGCTCATTTTTATTTAAAAATCTCCGAAAACCTGCTTGTATTCATTTATATATAACCGAATGTTTTTTGTTCAGTAATTTTCACCGTAAATTCCAGAAGAGACTTCAACACCAAATACCATATGATAAATTTTATGCACGCAAAATTTGGCTGTTTTGCCTTCTGTTCATCATTTCTACTGCGTAAAGATGTTCATCGGTAATATTTATCAGTGAATATTCACTAGTTAGCCATCTACTGGTTTATGAGACGATTCCCATTTTTTGATAAGTCGATTCAATTCAAAATGCATATAACTGGTATCACGTTTTATGTATCCTTCGAAGTCGATAGTTTTCGTGTTGTACAGTACTCGACACTGTAATGACACTTAAAGAGCAGGACAAATGTCCCCAGAATACACATACCGCACTGTTTTATCATCACTGAAACTGTTTATGGTTAGCTAGAAATATCACTTATAAAACGGACAGCAGTTGAACATGCTGAGATAACGTTTCCCTCTTCCTGAATAATCACTTGTGTAGAAACTTCATGTTAAATTTCATTCAGAAATATACTGATCTTTAGTTAATATTACGTATTGTCTCTATATTTGTTGTGCAGCTCGACAGCTGCTTAGATGATTGGATTCAGCGTTGCTTGTGAACTTCAGAATTACAGATGTGTAATTAATGAATGAATGAATGAATGAACATTTCATGAGAAGAAATATCTTCTGTACTGTTCGTCGGCAAATTTTGGAAACACATTTTCAAACTGTGACTGTCTGAGTCAAAATATACTCGTGTATGTACAGGCTTTCAAGGGAATACTCATTTTATTTGCAATTGATAGTAGCTTACAAAGAACAGGTTTACCAAGGATTTCAACTGATTTATTTTTAACGCCATTTGTGTATAGAAATTCCGAGAAATAAGACCTACCTCCGTATCCATAATTCTTTCTCGAGGCCAAGATTGGATTATTTGGAGATTTGATAGTTTGACTTCAGCCGTAAAATATGGAGGAGATACGTGTTAGCATGTCGTAAAATAGGCTTTATTCTATGGTTATACTTCCGGCTAACACTTGAAAAACACCAGTGTGACTAGCTGATCATAATTAATGTAGACATTTATGTGTAAACGGCCCTATTATTGTTATCTCTAATGCAGAAGTACACTTCTATCCGACGACTACAGTAGATAGGTCGGCTTTTCTCTCAGAGCAGTGGGGTGAATCAGCACAAGTGACCATTCGTTCTGCGACAGTATATTACATGTTTAGGACATGAAGCTGGCGTAGATTTGTTGTTCAGTACAGAATGAAACGAATATATATATATTTTTCATGATATCAATGAAAATGGAAATTTAGAGACAGCAACTAATAAAACATGTAAAGTGTTGGTAGGAAAAGAATGCGCATTTATTTAGAACTGGGGGGTTTTCAGCATCGAGTGTTACTTCACTGTCTGACTCATAGTTATATAAGTCTAAGGGACTCCAAATTGTTTAGAGTCCTTGGATGGTTTTTGACCCAGGAAACACAGGTAAATTGAGAAAAATAGTGGTACTATTTCGAAGAAATACACTAACATTTCAACCAACACAGAAGATCTTTGAGAGCCTGTTTTAAAATGCGATTTCAGTTCACATCCCGTGATAAACATAATCTGTAATTGAAGAAAGAGATATCTATCAGCACACATATGTTAATGTAACTTGATAGTGTATAGGAAGTAAATATGATGATGATTCTAGTGAGTTGATGAAGACATATGCAGCGTAAATACCTCCATAAAGTCTCTCGATAAGCTTCACATGAGGTGAGGGATTGGTATCAACATTAAACAAAATTCCACACCTCTCGACCACCTTGTATATGAAACTAGATTCGCAAAGTTTGTCGGAGGGATACACGATCATTGATTTATCCAGTCAATTTCTGAGATGTTAATATGTCACTGCGGATATCCTGAAGGAGGATCAGTCTAGTAATCGTCATTTAGAGTCACTGTGACTCTCAAATTGATTAGATTCATTCTTTGAAATAATGATTCAATGCCGTCATTTAAACACAAATTCAATACTTTTATATCCTTATTGAGAATGAATATGCTTTTGTGAAAAGGCAATTCAAAGTCTCTACCTAATTTCTGTATACTCGTTATCTTCACAAGTTTAAAATTTCATTCAATGTTACTGCAAACGTGGTACTTACGAAGAAGGTGTCAACGCTTAAGCATGCTCCACCCCAAAGCATGAACATCTTCTGTAAAGAGCAAATATTTATATACAAATATTCACTGAGGTTATTTGAAGGAATTTTCAATTCAAATAGAAATTATTATAAGTACTTCCTACAAACAAACAAATGTATCGTTTTCGATGACGCTGATATCGGCCAGTTCAATATCTCACAATATAAAAATATTCAGAAGAAATGCACCTGTTCACGCCGTAAGTGAATGCATATCCGCATTCTGAATCTCATCCAATTTTATACTTCTGGTATCGTTAACTCTGATTCGATGGCTAATTTTGATATGAAGTTATGATCATTACATTTTACAAGATATCTCACATTCGTAGTCTGATAGGGATGAGACAGCATTTCACTAAGATTATTCATTTCAATTATCCTACTCTAATTTATTTCAAAAGCGACTCCCTTTTGAGAATCTGTATACCTATATTTAAATTATCCTCTCCTAGAATAAATTATAAGGCTGCTTTGGATGAAATTTTGTCAGTGGCTTACTATTCGTCTTTTACTTATTCTTGTGTATAAAAACCAGTCTCAATCGGTGTTAAATCATTTAATTGAACTCACTTAACACCATACTTCACTGGAAATTTCTCCTACACTCCGGAATAGTCTTGAAACAACTGAAATTGCAAGGCTACTAGGATATTAGAGTGGCGAAAGAGAAGATAGTTCGCGATTACCAGTTTGTTCACTTCTTGCAAAAAATAACTCACCCTTTGAATTCCAATAGCTGACAGAACGATTCCCACTAGGGCAAATATAAATCCCAGTGTGTAAAACAATATGAATCCACCCAACTGCATTGTTTGCAAATTGAATGTTATCAGGAGAACGATGATTGCAACAGCGAATGTAATGAGGAGAGAGTAGAGCGCATAAAACCTCTCACTGACATGGAAGAAATATCCAATTCCAAATATGAAGAGGATAATCTACACATAATACAAAACAGTTATTAAGAAAAGGTTGTTACATTCACATTAGTGTTTAATTGAAATATTCCAATTCATTCTCATTTTAAGTAAGATGCCACTGATCATGATTACATCACCTGAAAATTCCACACCTAGATTGTTTCATAACATTCTTTTTGTGAAACCTCTTGATATAAATCATGACTAACTAGTGAAGTGGAACAGCACATATGTTATTGATGATTTGTTATTATATCAGACTGTATGACGATACCTAGATAATGACTTTTGCTACGATTTTGTGTTATTCAAATGTGTGTAATTGACTCTTTTGGATGACGCTGAATTTCACGTCCAAAAATGTGTGTTTCAGTGTTCCGTTAATGATTAGAACTATTCAGCAACGCGCGCCAGTGGTCTCACCAGGATGTCGATGCAGAAGCTTCACCTTATGTGACATGTGAACCAGAGATCCCTACAATGCGTTGGGATCCAACAACTCTTGATTTCTTGGCCCCGCGAACTCACTGTATTTCGCGATCAGTGAGTACCTTTCGTCAAACGTGGTTTCTTGAAACCCCTGATTTTTCATCAGAACTCCAGTAAGCTCACCAGATAATCAGGAACTAATCAGCAGTGGAATAATTTTCGATTTTCGAACTGCTTTCAGAGTAGATTTTGTCACAAAATTACAACATTTATGGATGTATGTCCAGAAAAGGGGCATGGGATATAGATGTGCCTCTGGAGACATTTGTTCTACTAACAACTCAAAAGAATGACAATAATGATAATAATAATAATCCATGTGAGTTTGGAATAAGTGGACGTGTTACTTTCAGGTGATTGAAAGTTTATTTGACTAGTTATATAATGTACCAACTGAGAATCATTGTTTCCAAATGAATAATAAACACAATTTATATTTACACATAAATTAAAGACAATAGGAATTTTCGCTCACTACTAATCCAGCAATAATCGCGTTAAATGGAGTAGCAGACTGTAGTCGCCTACTCAACATTAATGCAATGTCAAGGATAACTGCGAGTATTCTGAAATAAAAACAGGCACACCAGTTAACAAAATAATGAAATGATGAAAGGTTCCAAGTTGAAAATGGATCCCGAAATCAAGAAATACTACGATTCTTTTCAATAACTTTTAGTGACTACGTTCTTTCCTATTCAGGCCGAGGAAAATATTAGGGGAGTTTTTGACACATTAAATGTAGAACTTTTCCATGAATCAAGCTGAATTACGAGAATGCAAATAATGTGTGGATTACATAGTGGATCATCAGTTCGCATCATCATCATCAGAGAGATAATAAGTAGACCGTTAGGTGGCAACGCGTTCCAGTGCATCTCTTGATGGGAACTCGAAGTGGGAACGTCGAGTTTTATATCTGAGGAGGACATTTGTGAGAACGTATTATGAGGAGATGAAAGCTGATGCGCGATCCTTGAGCCAGCTGATAAAGACTTTGGAAAGCAGATTAAAATGGAGATGCGCTGTTGAGGCTGTGCGTTTCACTCAGAACCCAGGTTACAATAATAATAATATATTCCCAGCAAATTTACATCACGTTTGGTCCACGCTTCGTGAGGAAATATCCAGTGTACGTGTGATTTAACATAACCAGAATACCGGAAGTTGTGAATATTATGTGTGACTCTCCAGAGGACTTTCTCCCGCTTATGATAAAATAAGTATACCTGGCCAAAGTACACTGAAATCTATCATGTCACAATTATTCATGGCTAGCTGTCGTACTGGACGTAGAAAGAGTTTGAAAATTATATTTGTCGTCAACAGGAAGTTAACCTATTTATTATTCACGAGCAGTGGTAAATATGAAATCTATCATCAGTAAACGTGACCAGACTGCTAATTGAAATGCGTAACAAAACTTTGCCAGGTAAGATGATTTGAAAACGACTTACACGAGAGCGATAGCCACATAATTCCATTTGCTTTTGAATATCTCATGCGGCTGTTTCGCTGAACCCTTTTTCTGGGAAAGTGAAATGCATTTTTGAGAAATTGAATCTTATACCGTGAGTAAGAAGAGTATGTGTTTCGAAAGAAAATCAACGGTATCTTTGATGCAGTGTTCCATTTGAAATAGCGCCTGTCTTCCTTCAGTACATTCCATCTTCACTGTTGTGCTCTTTAAAAATGGTGAAAAAATGATATTGTATTTATCAGGTGTATAGTGACGGAATAAAAGGAATAAATAATAATAGTTCGTGGCCTAAGACACGTGCGTGTTTTGTCTCGTACAAAAACTTCCGGCAAAACAACTTCAATAATAATGATGACGGTGATAATGATTCAATTATAATCACTTTGAAATTTTTCTCACTCATATTTCATGTATCTGGCTCACTTTATGTATTTGTGAAAGTGAATCAGGAATAACCAAGAATCATGTTGGATCAGACATATTAATAACTTGCACGGTCACTCAAATGTTTGAAGCCATCTTTACTCTGAAATGGAAGAGTGTCTTATGTGTAAAAGTAGAGTAAGTCAAGCCCACTGAGTAAAACTCACGGAGAATAGGATCATCGGTGTCCAATGCAAGACATGAAAAAGCTGATATCTAGTGCTCTCTAGGTTTCGATGAATCTATAGGCTGTATTGATTAGTGACTTAACTATTCTGAAGAAGTGATCGCACTAAAAACGATTCTATATCTTTAAGCATGCGTAGTTCGAAGCAAATAATTCACAAAACATGAAAGCCTGTTTGGACTAATATTCAGTAGCACATGATTCACAGGACAATTTAACTATGGAATCGGAAGGAGACAGACTGTCACTTCTGTGAACTACTTTTATCATATGTACATTGTATACGCGAATTTGTGACATTTTCCTAAACATTAAACCAATGATAACCAATAAAAGTCAAATTCAGATCGTTGAACGGACATCGTGTCATTCAGTGGAATAGTTTTATCTACTGAATAAACAATGATGAAGTTTCAGAGTTGTGCTGTAACAGTTGACATGACAGTGAACATCGAATTGTGTTCGAAATTTTTTCCAGTATATAGTGATATTGTCTGACTATGTGATATATCCAGTGAAAAAACTATCCTGGAATTACATAATATCGCAGTACCGAATCAGTGTGACTCTATTAACATACTGGACGACTCACTAAATTATTCTTTAACAGTTTCAAAGTGGTCTGGAATGGGTAGTCAGATCCCGGTTATAAAATCTTGGGCAAACTTGTTAGAACATGTAACACCACCTGCATGAAGATTTGAATTCACTGTTATACTTCCTTACCAGATAGCTCAGGAATACTGTTACTTCGAATTGAAATACCTATCCGATTTGTTACGAATTCAAAGTGATAAATTTATGCAATAGATCTCAAAAATGAGGAAAGAGTGATCTGTGAACTTACCATTTCACTCTGAGCTACCATACACCTGACCGTCTGTATATATTCTAAGTAGAATATGGTTTATATACTTTTCGGTGAATGAATCGATCTCAGTGATCTTTGAACTATTTTAGCCAAAAATATTGAATAAAATTTGATGCATCAAATCCTGTTAACGAGTCACCGATATCCAGTATGGGGTTTGGAACTTTGTCCTTGCATTATTCAAATAACTCATACTTTTTTGAATGAAGTTATGTTTATGTTTCTTATATGTTGGTTCGATATACAGATTAACAGATTGCTGAACGTTAGTAGTCAATTAACCCTGAGTGATATTAGACCATTAATAATAATATTACGTGAACGAAGAATCTATTTTAATATGCAGTCAGATTACCAGATTATATTGAAGATCGAAAGATTAATAGTTCGGATGATGGGTCAAAAATAGTTCATGTTTTGCCTATACACACTGTTGTTTGTGCGTTACACAAAGATCCAGTATTCAATCTGTACCACAACTGAGTAACTGGTTTTAGCGAAATGCATAGTCCTGGAAGGTGACGATAGAACGAACATCTATAAATGACAATGATGAATGAAATGACGTTTCAATATGAACAGTCAGACGTTCTCTTCTTCTTGCATTCTCGCTTCCGGCTACTGAGTATAAAATCTATCTCTTAGCACTGAAGTTTGAGTGTGATTTCATTCTATCATTAGGTCTACGGCTTATTGTTTTTAATATCGAAGATCATGATGATTTTCTCCAAGGTGTTTCGATAGATGTAAAATATCTCCCAATTCTGGCAAACTGTCGGACCCTGTCACTTTTTTAGTAACTTCAGTCAACTAAGATGTGTTTGTAGTATCACTGACGCATTCTTTATACTAACATGAGTGAGTTGATTTGATACGACACACATCACTGTGTGAATGACATTCCCAGTTGAGTTTATTGCTTATACTCAGTCATGTCAAGTATCCACGTGTCTTTCTCAGTCGTGTCGCATAGTCATACCTCCTTTTAATTTTCAATAAAACTGTGGAAATACGTGAGCGGCATTTGATTGATTTGACTGAAGTTGTTTCCTATCGACTCAATCACGACAGATTCAGTGAATAGAAATATATTACTTTTCAAAGCTCACTAGATGTCATTTGATAAATTACATTATCCTTCTTAATTATATCAGTCGACTTCTTAAGGCAACAAAGGTTGTCTCTGAACAAGGTGTTGGTTTGGATGCTACCTCAATTGAAGCCATATTAAGGACCATCTATAGGGTATATTATATTTCTTCCTTATCATATGGTAGTGATAGTGAATCTTGAAATTTCTTATTATTTGCAGTCATTTTTCTATTTACCTAACTAATTCTGTTTTTCTTATGTGTATTTTTACCTTTTGGAATAAAATCAGGAGGGAAGGTACTCACTATTAAGGTTTTCTTTATTTGTTCTTTCTAGTTAATCTGCGCCTTTGGAGATGTGATGATTTCCTGATGCAATGAACCATTGTTGCAGCTTGGGAACAGTGGAGAGTACATGTCGTTGAGGTACATATTCTCAAGTGTTCGTCTTCTCTAAGCCAAATAGTTTAATTGAGAGGCTGTCATTGCTAAACATGAGAGCTTACAATACAGTTTCCGGTACAATCTTAATAAATCTATATTGGTCAATCTACGCTGACTATAATTGATTCATAACTGTTGAACTTGAGAAGAATATATTGGAAATATTCGTTATGTGTAAATACTCTTTTCTTTAATATATTTCGAAGATATTGAATCTAATGGAATCTCACAATGTCAGCAACCAAAACAACTCCACTTTTACATTCCATCGTTTCAATAGGACTTAATATTACTTATTACCATTTCAATGAATTGAATACGCTGGAATCGTTTGACTTCTACAGAGACTTACTTCCCATGTGGCGTTTTTATACTGACGCTGCTTTCAGGACTGTATCTAGTGGTAGAAAGTTACTCTGATGATTGTTCACATATCTTGTCAGGTGTGAAGATTACTCACTCATCATTATGGATTTTTGACATTGAATTTTGAGAACTGAGACGGTGTGAAATCATGTTTGTGGATTAGTAATAACGAAAATGCAGCGAATGTTATGATCAAGTTCTTTGACTCATAACACGAGGGTTGAATGGTTGATATCTGGTTGACTAGTGTGCGTGAACTGTCAAGGAGTCCGGAAGTGAAGTAAGAGAGATATCTGCGGTACCTCTGTATCCAATGATTCTTTTAGTTACATCAGTTATTAATGAGGTGTACATTGGGATGCCTAAACACGTATGCAACAACCCTGTTACATGACTGTACTGAAAGCAAGCAACATCAGTGGTGACAACGGCCGTAACTGTCTTGTGTAAACCTTATTTCTATGAAGAATTTCATGGGATTCAGTAGCAACGAATAAGTTTCATGAAAATGAAATCTGTTTCCGGTTTGAATTAAAATCCAACTTAGTAGATTATCGAAGACAGCGGTCAGAAATTATGACAGGTAGCAGACCTTTATCAACAACTGTCTTCGCTGGTTCTATCTTGAAGATCAGATGGCCGAACCGGAAAGAATCACCAACAAGAAACTATGAGAACAAACAAAACAAGAACCAATCGCCCAACAACAACAAATATGCAGGAGAAAGTGGAGGTGGACTGGACACTCGCTGAGGAGGTCGCTGGATGACATAACGTGCCAGGCCTTCGAGTGGAACCAGGCCGAAAAAAAAGCGGCGAGTGGGACGTCAGTGGAAGGGTGACATGGAGGAGATCGTGTGAAGAGAAGTTGAAACAGTCTGGATTAACATGGATGCAGGTGAAGAGTACAGCATAAGACAGAAGCAAGTGGAGACGTGCAGTTGAAGCCCAATGTTCCACTAGGAACCCAAGGGAACAATAATAATATAATACAGTGCAGAAGTTCTTTGCTTTTATTACATTTTTTACAACAATTTGTTGCCTGGTGATTCATCTGTCGTTTGTTTCATGAGAATTAATGTGTTAGTCTCATCTGCAGTGCAACTCTGTCCCGGTTGTGTCCGCATATGCATGGACAGCGACAACTTCTCAACAAAATACTTGTCAACGCAACGCTAATCCACTTCACTTTTTTAACAGAGTATAAGTTACTACCACTAGATGATGTCACTGACAAGTGAGCATGAGCATGATAATGTGAAGAGAAGAAAACTAAGTTTTAATTCGTTCAACAAGCCGGAAATATTTCCGTGCATAATTTCTTGACTTTTCTTAACTAATAAGGTTCGAAATTATTTTGAACATATAGATCCAATGCCATTTTCCGTCTTTTTAAGTATTTTACAATGCATTATTTGTAAAATGTCACAATTTTGGAAGTATTTCTATTGTACGTTAAACCAAACGACGTAAAGTCTGCTGGATATTACGAACAAAAGGGTGCTGCTTTTCTTCGTCCGACCGGGATATATACATTCCTGAGACGGGAACGGCATCGGTCAGGAACAGTGACCCAAGTTGCCGGACAAGGCACTGCTGGAAAATGAAGAGTTTTGTAGACGTCTGAAATTTTCTTTTTGAAAACCCATCTGATCAGTCATCACCAAAATAAAACCTTTACAATCAGACCTCGAATTGGTTTCAGTGGATTCTTTATAGCTCACTATTTTTCGAAAATATTTGCACACGATGAATACAACTGTCTGTGTCAGACTACTTCAATCATGCAACACTAATACTGTTTCTGTTTCAGGTGTTTCAAGATGTAGTCAACTTCTAAGATGTGGGCAACCTGGCCACCAGGCAGTTTCATTAGTAAACAAAGTCATTCTGATTGCCACCCATCTTTATCTCCTTCCCTTCCTACAACTGGTAATAATATTTGACTGGCAGGCTGTCAAATTTCAATTGACTCTGTGATCATTAATTGTAGCCACATTCAGAAACCTCACTGCCTACTCATTAGGAAGCATTCACCGCCAGTTGTTTTGTTGAAATGAAGAACAGGTTTCATTAGCTGGAACAATAGAACCCTGATTTTTGGACACATGTTATCTATAACCAAAAAGATTTACGTTCTCTTTTACATGCTGACTTGTTTATGATGTTGAGTAATGTAGAAATAGGGAGTAGAGTGTCAGATTAAAAAGGATGAGAAGTCATTCGATTAGATTGTGAATCCACATCAGTTGAGACGACTTTAACATGCCTTGCTCATATATAGTAGCTGCTTCCCTTGTCAAGGAATGTTAGCTAACATGTGATTAGAAAACAGAAAGATTGAGCGAAGAAATATTTACTTTCTGATCAGATCCTCATCTCTGGCTCTACTATGATAAATATAGAATTTTTATTACAGTACACAGCAATTTACCAACCAAGTGGCAATACGTTTGTTAACAATAATTAGTCAGTGTCAAAATGTCAAGCGGGTGAAAACACAATTAAATGGTAGAAACGGTTACAACAAGTGGATTGCATAATGCATAATTTTGGAAAAATGAGGAGTAATTAAGGAATAAGCGTGTCTACAGGTTGATTACGTAACAGATTTATAAAGAAAATAAAACGATAATTTGTAACTAAGGATGAAGTGGTGATAAGAATAAAATAATTTTACAAGGATAACACGTAATTAAAGATGAAGTAGTCAGAAAAATAAAATAATTTGAACAATTATAATTTTTATATCTTTTAAAGGTTTAGGAAGTGAGGGGGGCGAATTAGTCCCGTTTATACATTCATGTAACGATGACCAAGGTAAGGAAGGTGTCTGTACAAATTTCTTCTGAACACACAGGTTTGGCTTCTTCAGGTGGATTCCTATGGCTTCAGCTGTATGTACCGGATGAACCCATAAGGCAAATTTGTAATCAGTAGGAATGCGATAAATAATTTCAAATGCTGTATTGAAATCAACTTTAGGCTCACTATCTACAAGGTTTGCTAAAATAGGGCTGCTAACAGATCTTGTTTGTCCCTTGCTTAACCATGCTGCATGATGTGGTGTGATCAGATTGAAGGAAAGTTGGTAGT